CTTCGATTTGCCGACGATACAGTCCTTATGCCAGAATCGCTGGAGGACTTAGCACTATGCTCAATGACCTCAATTGTGTCTCCCACCGGATAGGTCTTAAGATGAACATGGACAAAACAAAAATCATGCTTAACGTCCATGTCACACCTATGCCGGTAGTTGTTGGGAGCACTAAGCTTGAAGTTGTTGACGAGTATGTTTACCTGGGACAATTAGTCCGACTAGGTAAGTCCAACTTCGACCGAGAGGTCAATCGACGGATTCAACTCGGCTGGGCAGCGTTCGTGAAATTACGACACATCTTCTCGTCAGGTATACCTCAAAACCTGAAAACGAAATTGTACAACCAGTGCGTGTTGCCAGTGATGACTTACGGATCTGAGACGTGGTCCTTCACTGCTGGCCGGATGAGGAAGCTCAAGGTCGCTCAGCGAGCTATGGAGAGGGCTATGCTCGGAGTCTCTCTGCGTGATAAACTTAGAAATGAGTATATCCGCAGTAGAAATAGAGTGACCGACATAGCCCAACGGATTAGTAAGCTGAAGTGGCAATGGGCCGGCCATATAGCTCGACGAACCGACAACCGATGCGGAAGAAAGGTTCTCGAGTGGCAGCCTCGTGCCGGTAGGCGAAGTGTAGGGCGACCCCCCACTAGAGTGACGACCTGGTAAGACATGCAGGTGTCTAAGGACCCTGTTTTGTGGCATTCCTTGGGGTAGGCCTATGTTCAGGAGTGGACTTATGAAAGGCTGTAATGATGAATGATGATGGTATGGTGTGTGTTAATTACTATGGCAAATATTCCCCTTATGTGGCAAACTAAGAGCCCTATGATCAGCAGTGTACTTTGAAAGGTTGATAATATTATAATATCTTACACGGTCTTGAATTGATTAGTACGAAATCTACGCGATGTAACTTGGTAAGTCTAAAATATATCAACATAGATTTAAAATTCGCAAAGAAAATAAGCGATTTTTTTTAAAATCTTTACTGTGGTATATTTTATGTAACTCGAGATTTACAGAAACTTATACATACGCTTTGTATTTATAAAAGTTAATTCAATTAATTTATTCACTCGTAACGCTCACTCCTACAGACTTCTTTTGCGTGTGTTGCGTACAAAATATTATGCAACGCCCATACCAAACGATAAACGGCAATTTCTAAATTGGATCTTTTTAAAGATAAGGCAAGATAAGAATCCTTTAAACTTTGTAATTTGAAATGCTTTTAAGAAACAAAGTAATAAAGAAATACTTTATTTTTAACCCCCGACCAGAACAGAGGGGTGTTATGTTTGTAGCGTGTATCTGTGTATAGCTGTCTATGGCATCGTAGCACCTGAACGGATTAATCTATTATGTCTCATTCGAGAGTGTTCTTAGTTATATTTCAAGAAAATCTAATAATGATTTCTTACATTTACGCGAAGACTACATATTAAGTGAAACTAATTTTTACGGATTTTATCGCGTTTAATTTTAACTTTTTAATTCCCGACGTTTCGGGTGCTTTACAGCGTCCATGGTCACGGGGTGTTTGACGTTCGGATGTCATAGTTAGTGAAAAGAAAACGAAATTAGGCAACGAAGGTAGCCTGGCTAAACGCGACAAAATTCGTAAAAATTAGTTTCATTTAATGCCAAGAGAATTTGTTCAGCCGTTTGTATTGCTCTTTTTGTTCTTTTTTTTTATAGGATAAGGGTGACAAACGAGCACACAGTCCACCTGATGGTAAGTGGTTGCTGCGGCCCATAGACATCTACATCTATCCTCTGTTACAAATCAAAATGTAGATGCGTTGTCACCCGTGAGGACTAAGATGGAATGCCTCATTTCCAGTAAAAAGGGCCTCCGGCCACAGGCACTCACCAAGCGAAACGCAGAGGTAAACCTCTACTACACGCTGGTTTTCTGTGAGGTCGTGGTACCACCCCGGTTCGTGCTGGTCCATCCGTGCGACACTGCTTTGCACTGCTGCGTGGCTCTACCACTGTTTCGGGGGTTTTTTAGATTTTTAATTTCAGTTATGTCACAAACCTTGGACGTACACAGCAATAAACAAAATTTCTAATTCTTTTACCGTTACAGCCTATTAAAGTCCACTGCTGAAATACCTCGCCCATAGATTGCCTCATAGGAAGGATATTTTCTATAGCTGCCACGATTTTGGCAACCGCAGTTTTTTTATTTTTAGTCGTTATTGGGAAGTCGCTGCTGCCCATCTCCTGATTTGTTTCCCTGTGTCGCCTCTTACGACACCCACGGGATGCTATGTGGTAGTGGATATTATTACACCACCACTACACTATATCCACTACCACGGTGTTTCCACGGTAATTTTCTTAAGTAAATATTTTTTTTATAAGATAAGTGTGACAAGCGAGCACATACTCCACTTGATGGCAAGTGGTTGCTGCGGCCCATAGACATCTACATCTATCCTCGATTACAAATCAAAATGCAGATGCGTCGTCACCCGTGAGGACTAAGATGGAATGCCTCGTTTCCAGTTAAAAGGGTATCCGGTTCTTTACACTCACCATACGAAACACAGCAGCGTTAAGCTGCTACTTTACTCTGGTATTCTGTGAGAACGTGGTTCTTCCCCGGTCGAGCCGACCCATTCGTGCTACAACTATACTACTAATATAGCTGCAGCATGGCTCTACCACGAATAAACTTTACGTACTTTTCCACCGACTTTAAAAAGGAGCCGGTACTCAATTCGACTGTATGTTTTTTTTTAATGTGTGTTACCTCATAACTTTTTACTAGGTGAACCGATTTCGATGATTCTTTTTTTGTTATATGTATGTGCTTCAAATGTGGTCCCCTATAAATTTGATCAAGGTCTGGCCAATAGTTTTGGAGTTATTCTTAATAATTTATATTGAAGTCGGTTGTACAAAATTTTTAATTTTAAATTATGTATAGAAGTAAAGGTAATGATATAAGTAAGAATAAATGAACACATAGTTGTCACCTCATGGTGACACCTATATTTATCCGCGACTAAAAATCAAAATGCAGATGCGTTGTCACCCCTAAAAACTAAGTTGGAATGTCTTTTTACGTGTAAAAGAGTCTCCATTTCTCTACACTCACCATATAACGCTGGTATTCCGTGAGAGCGATGTCCTCCCTCGATTATGACGACCTATTTTGTTGAAGCAACAGCTGCAGCATGGCTCTATGAAACCTTGATCATTGCAGCGTCCAAGGTGCGAGACGTCTGGTATTGAAACCGTCATATACAGGGTTATTTTTCAAAGAGTAGCCTTTTAAACTTAAGTAATGATATACGAGGGCTGCACTAAAAGTATCGGGAATGGAATATTTCCACTATTCCTGTCATATTAAAATCTTTTTAATTGAAAACCCCTTGGTTTTAAAAATCGTATACCATTTATGTATTTAAAAAAAGATACTCGGTCTTGTCACAAGGTTTGTCAAACTTGTTTAGTCGTTGAGAAAATGGAATTGACTGGAGAAAATTCAAGAGCGATGATTTATTATGACTTTCGAAGTCGTTTAACACAAAACAGTGTATTGACCGGATGATTTCTGCATTTGGTGATGAAGCCCCATCCAAAACCACAATTTATCGCTGGTTTGCTGAATTTCAACGTGGACGTGTCAAGCTCAGTGATGATCCCCGTCAAGGTCGTCTAAAAACTGCAGTCACCCAAGAAAACGTGGATGCTGTGCGTAAGCTGATTGAGGAAGATCGACATGTGACATACCGCGAAATTCAGGCAACTTTAGACATTGGCATGAGTCAAATACAAATAATCTTGCATGAACAATTAGGTGTAAAAAAGTTGTTTTCCTGATGGATACCGCATTCGCTCTGTGAAGAGCAAAAAGCGGCTCGCGTTACTTGGTGCGTCAGAACTCTCGAAAGATTCCACGCAGGATCCTCAAATGCTGTATACAACATCGTATCAGGTGACGAATCCTGGATATACGCGTACGAACCCGAAACAAAAAACCAGTCACGAGTTTGGGTGTTCGAAAATGAGTTAAAGCCAACAAAAATTGTTCGTTCACGGAGTGTTGCAAAAAAAATGGTGGCCACGTTTGTCTCCAAAACCGGCCATGTTACGACTATTCCTCTTGAGGAACAAAGAACGGTTAATGCAGAATGGTATGCTAGCATTTGTTTGCCACAGTTCGTTTCTGAACTCTGTAAAGAGAACTGCAACCGCCGCATCATCCTCCATCACGACAATGCGAGTTCTCACACCGCACACAGAACAAAAGAGTTTTTAGAGCAAGAAAACATAGAATTATTAGACCATCCGCCGTACAGCCCCGACCTAAGCCCTAATGATTTCTATACTTTCCCTAAAATAAAGAATAAATTGCGTGAACAGAGATTTTCATCACATGAAAAAGCTGTGGACGCCTACAAAACGGCTATTTTGGAGACCCCAACTTCCGAATGGAATGGTTGCTCCAATGATTGGTTCCATCGTATGGAAAAATACGTCAAATTTCGCGGAGAATACTTCGAAAAGCAATAAATACATTTTTAAATAGTAAAGTTGTGTCACTTCCTTGATTCCCGAAATTTTCAGTGCCGCCCTCGTACCATTATTGCAGTTTTTGATAATACGAGTAAATAACTTTTATTTGAAAGTATCCTAAATTTAATTTGATTTATGGGCAATAACTACGCGTACGCGCTTCTCTGTGTGCGATTCAATTCACAACGTTTTTGCCGACCAAGCGACCCGTACGAATGTGTGCGTGTGTTGTAAAATAGTAGGCGATAGGTATTTATCAATGACGATCAATTAAAATAATGCATTACCACGCATTCCTGAATTTAAAAGATAAAAAGGACTGAATGTTTGAGATTTTTTTTTAAATTAATGTTTCTTCACTATTTGCCTATATTACTTATTCTGAACCTTCTCTGCAAATTAGGCCGTTTATTGCAAAATAACCTTGTATGTCACAGAATTAAGGAAACTCAATCGTTGCAGATTTATCAGAAGAAAATCGTGGTCTCCTGTCGTCGAGTCAAGCGTCCTCAGGCACCGACTTCCAGTCCACGGAGACCCTCACCGAGTCCACAACAGTACCAAAGACCGGTTACGACTTTTTGGACAACTGGTAATATTGAAACGGGTGTTTTCCAAAGTGTTCATATTAATTTACTACAGTATTTTTTATTAAAGTATTTAATTTTAAGCTCAATCTGTGAGCAATGATTTAAAGTTGTATAAGAAAGTTTGAATAGTTACGTAGTTTATTCTGTGGAATAGGGTAGAAACTTTATCTCAATATCCAATACTCTTTCATATTATGCCTTCTACCATATTTATACTTTAAGTAACGTAAAATATGAAATATTGCTCCTTAAGAGAGAGAGCGAGAGAGAGCATAACTCAAAGCACTATGTCACTATAAACTATAAATTTGTTATGAAATAAAACGACAGATAGGTGACGGATTCTTAAGCTCTCAAAATATGAGACTTTTATGTTTAAATGCATAAATAGCCATATCATGATTTTGTATTACATTTTTTTATAGGATAGGATGACAAACGAGCACACAGTCCACCTGATGGTAAGTGGTTGCTGTGACCCATAGACATCTACATTTATCCTCAAGAAAGAATCAAAATGCAGATGTGTCGTCACCCGTGAGGACTAAGATGGAATGCCTCTTTTCCAGTAAAACTGGTCTCCGGTTCTCTACACTTACCATACGAAACACAGCAGTATCAAGCTGCCATTTTGCGCTGGTATTATGTGAGAGCGTGGTCCTTCCCCGGTCGAGCCGAGCCATTCGTGCTACAACTATACTACTAATTTGCTGCAGCATGGCTCTACCACGTATAGCATGACAGTATTTCTTGACACTACATAATATTTTTAACCACCGACGAAAACAGAGGGGTGTTATATTATGTTTGTAGTGTGTATCTGTGTATATGTGTGTCTGTCTGTGACATCATAGCTCCTGAACGGATGAACCGATTTTGATTACGTTATTTTCGTTCGAGTCTTAATCAAGTGTTCTTAGATATATTTCAAGAAAACCTGTTCAGCCGTTTGAAGATCATCAGCTCTTTTTGTTCCGGGGTCATTACAATTTTTAATTTAATTATGTATGGGGTATTTGTTGCTTGTTCGTTGAACTGAATAGTACCTATGATAGATTTTTTCTACATTCTATTTTTTACGTGGTAGAGCCATGCTGCAGCTATGTTAATAGTATAGTTGTAGCACGAATGGGTCGGATCGACCGGGGAAGGACCACCCTCTCACATAATACCAGCGTAAAATAGCAGCTGCTGTGTTTCGTATGGTGAGTGTAGAGAACCGGAGACCCTTTTTACTGGAAAAGAGGCATTCTATCTTAGTCCTCGCAAACGAGGATAGATGTAGATGTCTATTGGCCACAGCAACCATTTACCATCAGGTGGACTGTGCGCTCGTTTGTCACCCTTATCCTATAAAAAAAACATTCGTAAGTTTGATTGCGAAATTATAGCTTTGAATGTTAATCCCCTTTTATTAAGTATTTCTTTTGCTATTAGCTTTGTTACATAGATAAGCTAGTTGAGAAGTACTTACAGAAAGATAGATGCCTCATATTTGACTTAAATTCATGTCCAAATACTCAGTTAACTCATTTGCGTGTTTCACTAAAGTTTATATTATATTGGAAATATTGTGACAAACATTTCTGTTTTTTTTTTAATTTTCTTTCTCTTTTCGCCATCCTCTAAAATAATGTATGATTTTCTTACAATACATATAGAATATATTTTATTTTATACGAACAGCACTGATTAAATATAAATTTAACACTGATCAAATAAATGTTAACTATATAATGTTATGTATCTCATTAAATTAATTCTCGTAATTTTAAGGTTGGTATTACTCTTAGATCAGTGGTTCCCAATTAAGGTACCACTTTGAGAAAGAGTCCAAAGAATAAAGAATGAAATCATTTTTATTCAATATATATAAATCACATGTAAGTAATTTTCATTGAAAGTCATTTTTTACGTTACCATTGGTTCGAAAAAAAACCTCTATCTGTCCTGAGAAGAACCATCAAGAAACGGCGGGATTTTTTTTAAAGTAATTTTTACAATATGAAAGGTTGTACAATTTATTTTAAAAACAGCTTGGAAGCGGCCACCTAATTCCCAGGAGTTATTATCAACCATCTATTCATTTATATTATAGTAACCTTTTTTATACAGTTTTTACAAGCTCGCGTACCTCTTGTAGCTGGCCCAGCAGACGTTTATGTATTGTTTTCGGTAGGTGGCGCTTTAAGTTTCATTCAGAGTGCACTCTGGACTGTTTTACAGTGTAAATACAAAATTTATTATTAACTTGACCACATCGCCACCTACCGGAGATTTTTTCATAGGGATTTAGAGGGGGCAAACGAGCCCATGTACAACTGCAACACCATAGGAATCGCAGATTCGTTGCGAGATTTTTAAAAAGTAATAGTATCATTTCTTGAAGTATTTAAATTGTGTATTGAATAAATATTTTTTGATTGCCCTTGCCATGACATTAGTCAGGAGCGTACCCGTTCAGGCAACCTCATGTACCCCCGGGGGTATGCGTACCACTATTTGGGAAACACTGTCTTAGATAAATTATTTTAAGTATTATTTTATAAATCGCTTTATAACCTTTTTGTGATGTTAAATAGATTAGTTGACTTATGTCGTGCTTCTATATTTAAAAACGTTTCGTTATCTTTTACGAGCCGTTTTACAGTAAATTAAGTGCATGAAAAACCCTTTTATAAAACAAAATACCACTTGCAAATATTTATAGACCTTTTAAAGTTTTTATTTTATTTTAATTCATCCTAAGTTGTTGAATGAATAGTTTGTAATATAAACTGTTTGTACATGCACCTCGTATGCTATAAAACGGATCGTGAAGGAGAGCGAAACGTTTCTCGAATATAGGAATCGTGCATTGGCGGCGCTTGTTGTGGATCTCAATATTTAAAAAGAAATCTAAAAAGAGTATTTCATGCACAATTTGTATCGGTGTTCTCAGATAATAAAAATTAAAAAAAAATGGAATTCGATTTTCAATTATCCCCTTAACTGGTTGAAATTTATATATGATCACTCCAAAAGTATTTTTACTTTTTTTTTTAAAACCTTATCTTTACTAGGATTTTCTCGTAGAACTTGGAGGCAGTTTACATACATAGATTTCACAAGAACAAACAAATACTTGTTCCTTGCGGGATTCGAACCCGCTGTCCTCAACGCCGTAACTCATTGCTAAGCCACTGCGCCACCGAGTCGTGGGAGTATACTCTTTCGTTAAGAAAAATGAGTGAAATCGGTAACCTAATGTCATATGTGTGAGATAAAAAAAGTACAGTTCAATTGAACCTTCATCGTTAAAATCTAGGTCGTCGATAAGTTTGAAGTGGTCATTTGATTATTTATTGAGATATTAATTTATATTTATTTTTTGATACTTGGTTTTTGAATTGTTTTATTAGCAGTTAGCCAGGTATATAAAAAGCGCTACAATGTTTTAAGTATGAAAAATTTCTCCCAGAAAACGGGCGTTCGTTCACAATAGGTTAATAAAATTAATTTACCTATTTTGTTAACCTATCGTTAACGGACTAAATGCAAGTTTTAATTATTCAGAATAATAAAATTTGTGTAAAGAAATGTCATTGACTGCCATTTTTGTGTTGTAAAATTTGGATAAATAGAGGCTAGTAAGATATCACTCGAATAATAAATCTTTTTAGCTATGTAGAATTTAAATTAACAAAGGTAAAAGATCTGGTGAACAGTGTACTCGTTTATTCTATTAAAAAAAAAACGGATCAGTAAGCTGAAGTGGCAATGCGCCGAGGCAGCCTCGTACCGGTAGGCGAAGCGTAGGGCGGCCGCCTCACTAGATGGAGTGACGACCTGTTAATACATTAGAGGAAGTCGATGGATGCAGGTGGCTCAGGACCATGTTTTGAGACATTCCTTGGGGAAGTCTGTGTTCAGCAGGGGACTTGTCAAGGGCTGTAATGAATGAATGAATGAAAAAATATTTAAGTTATATATATTTATTAATATATATAACTTTATTATCATTACAGTCCTTCCTTCACAATCCAACGCTTGAACAAACGCCTCCCCCTAGCATTGCCACCAAACATGGTCCTCAGCCACCTTCATCCATCAATTTCCTGTATCTTGTACAATACACACTCATAGACAGACATACTTTATCACTATCTTTCTTAATTACACATAATAAAATCTTATCCATGACGTTATTTTATGTTCACAATGCTTTTATTGCATTTATTTTTATTCCAATTCGTAATGATTCTTTTCTTTAGTAAATTTATCGGAATTTATGACCAAAACGTGGTTTTCAATTGTTTCACTATTATATACAACTTCGTATTTATTTGACGGATAACTTATATGTCGATTGCAAAATTTTAACAGCTTTGTGTTAAAAAAATGTTTGTCAAAATTAAATCATGAAATTATATCGACTATTATTTTAATTTATTGTATTCCAGGAAACTTATTCGCACCAAATTCACTTATCCAGCTTATCTTTGTGAATTACTCTTTTGTTCTATTGTCCTCCACAATATAACAAAAGAGTAATTCGACTTGGCAAAACACGTATCATCCGTACACTGTGAAGAGCTATGGTCCGGCCGTTATCAGCAGAGTTCGTAAATGGTAGTAACAATGGAGATATGCCAACGACTTGCGAAATGTACGATAACTTGTTACCTGCTTATAATAGATGCCATACACGATCCAGTTTACCGTCAAGTTTGCAGCGCGCTTGAAGCGGCGTCAAGTTTGCAGTGCATCCAGAGATAGACCACTCACGTTCAAGTTCGCCGTTAAGTTTGCATGATGCCGAATCAGTTGAAACCATGGCGTCTCTCGCTTATTTGCTCCGACTACCGTCTTGCATACTTGGCCGCTCATACGCACGTTCAAGTTTCCATGACGCTGCAAGTTTGATCAAGTCGGCAGAATCGAAATTCAATTTTTGCTTCAAGTAGATAGCCATACACCGTCAAGTTTGCCGGATGCCGCTTCAAGCGCGCTGTAAACTTGACGGT